TTCACAGTTCAGTTCGTTTTGTGCTGCCTAACAGTTTCTGAACTGCCTTCAGGTGCTGCCCCACATCCAGCACCTTGCGGTGGTCTAGCCTGGAGGCTTCCCGAGCCTTGACAACCCTGGCCAGGCTGCCACAGGAGTAGGTGTGTTTTGTTGTTCCTCCCAATGGTCACAGGATGTCAGCAGGGAGAAAAGGACTAAAGTTCCCCCTTCACATTTTGCTGTCATCCTAATTATAACCCAGAGCTAAGTGGCAGCACATTAAATTGTAACGTGTTACCAGTCATTTGTCCCTTTCGTTGGCGGTGGCCATCCGTGCTCCTTTTGTCGGCTGACTGGCTGGGTCTGCGGAGCATTTCGTTTTCTTCTCCGACCGACCGAGAGATCAGGTGCTTTACTTAGTCCTTAAGCTGGCAAAATATTGGCTGGTGGTCTAACACACAGTCATAATGAAGTTGTGCCCACTGAGAGCGGAGGGCCTGGGCTTCTGCCTTTTTGCCCCCAGCAATAGTCCAGGCTTCATTGGCTCTAGGAACCCCCCCCCTCCCGCTCCTCTTTCCGGCCATCCAGGACATTGGCAAAGCTCTCCTCCAGCAAGCACCGCATTTCAAACAAATCCATTCTCCTCCTGTCAGCTTTCTTCACCTAAATTGAGAGGACATAATATTTGCACTCCTTGTGTCGGAAGAAGTGGATTTTGATCTAGGAGAGCTCACTCTGAATAAATCTATTCATCTTTAAATAGGCACAATATCTGGTTCTTTTTTTTTTTTGCCTCCATTGCTTCCCCCCCCCTTTCCCCTCTAATGTGGGCGGATTTGTCTCCCGGAAGCACAGCACGGCTGATGGGCTTTCTGGAGAGCTCTGTCTTCGTCGTAGTTCTAGAGACATGCATGGCCCGCATGGCCCCGCTCGCATTTCCCTTAGAGATGTCCCTAAGCACGGCGAGCCTTTTGCCGAGGCCACACCTCCCCTCCGTGGCCCGGGACTTGCCTTAAAGGCTACCAACAAAGTCCCTCTGAAGGTCTGGGCTGCCAGACCTGTATTTTGGACACACCGTGAGAAGGCACAGTTCTCTGGGAAAGGTGGATGGCAGCAGGAAAAGAAGAAAGCCCAATGGATTGACTCAGTAAAAAGAAGCCACAGCCTCAGGTTTCTAAGAGGTCTGTCTGGTCAGGGCAGGACATTTCAGAGGCCACTCATTTATAGCGTCCTCGTAGATTAGAGGTGACTTTGCCAGCCCACAACAGCAGCAATGCGCCCATACCCACAAGGTGGTGAGAAGAGGGACCAGGGGAGAAGACAGGCAACGGGCGGGGTGAAGCTGCATCGTTAGCACAGGAAAGGGACTACGTATGAAGATGTTAATTACTTGAAATTGCGCGCCACAGGCAGGTTCATCCTTGTGTGCCAGACAGATTTGACCATCATAGAAATGAAAAAAAAGTTATTTTGGAGGCAGAGGTCAGAGTCTGTCAAGGGAGGCAACCGGATATTACAGAAAGCTGGGTTATTCATGTACGTGGCGCACCAAGAAGCCTTGATCTCTGTTTCGGCCCTTAGAGAACCACACAAGCAGGTTGATGCAGCCGCTGCCTGCTGGTCTCCCTCTCGAGTCGCTCTTTGTGTTTCTTCCCACCCCCTCCTGCCCCCCCTTGCGGTGGTCACTCTGGGAGCCATAACAGAAGGTCCTGGGAGGTCGAAGTGTTTCTGAAACTGGCTTCTCTGTGCTGCCATTCCTGACGTCAGATCTGTGTTCATTTGCTATTCTGTTTCACAGAGATTGTCCTGTGCAGAAAGCAGAAGGGGGCTGCCAGCCTCAGGCGGCAGACGTCAGGTTAGAGAAGGAACGAGTAGTAGACGAATGCCTGCTGGTGGGGGCACAAGTGGCATCTGGGCTTGTGGCGTGGTTGCTGCACATGGTGCTTGTAGGCAAGTACCCCCGCCCCCACCCCCACCCCCACCCCCGGGATGCGAGTCTCACGGGGGTGTGTGTGTCTTGTTTGGAAACCCCCTAATAGTGTTCTGTTGTTCTCTCGCGCTGTTGGGCCGGTCTTCGAGCAGGTGGCGCCTGGGTGTCACTCTGGCTCTGCCGGCTGCCTTTTCACCACATTGGGTGGGCAATGCACTTGGAGAGACCGCTGTGCCCTGACCCCCCCCCCTTGAGATTTTCTGCCTGTACCCTGCGGTCCTGAGCCGACCTGCTTCTATTGGGGAGCTGGGCTGGAACCAGTGGGCTTGGCTGCGTGTTGTGGGTGGAGGCTGGAGGTAGGAAAGGCCGACCCGGGAAGTGCGCCTGTGGCCTGGCCGGGTCCCGAACCCTCGGCCAGCGTCTCTGGACCGGAGGGAGGGCCCTGGTGGAAGTCCTAGCGGGATTTCTCCAGGAACCCCTGACTGGGGGGGGGGGATGATAAAAAAACTCCCCGATGAGCATCCCACTGAGGAGGAGGAGGAGGAGGCCCTTCCGGGCACCGGATCGGGGCAACTGGTGTGCCCGCCGCGGTGCTCTCAAAATCGCGGCGTGTCAGCAACGCTTGCTAGTCGGGCTCACTGTGGCTGCGGCTTTAGAATGGCATTTTGGATGGCTTGCAAATCGTCTGAGGAATGTAAATGTAAAGCGACTGAACCTCTCCATGGTGGGCGCACCGCCGTCCTCGGCTTTCCTCTCCGCCTGCCCGCCCCCTTTAATTTTGTCAGCCTGCAATGTTGCTCCTTCTTTGAGTCTTGTGTAATGGGGACTCTTTTTTTGGGGGGGCGGTTTGCGGAATTGGCAATGGGCAGCCAGCCCTCCTCCCACCACTGCCAACTCCCTTCCCCCCCCCCGCTGCCAGGTCCAGGAAGTGTGTGTGTGTGTGTGCGTGTGCGCCCCGCACGCAGGCGCTGCTTTGCCTCCAAGCTGATACTTTGGGAAAAGCAGCTGCCGTTTGTTTGGTGGCGCAAATGCCAGGTTCTTGATGTATTGTTTGGGGCTTCCAGGCACGGCTCTGCCTGCCTCCGCGGAGACCCACCCCTCTAATCAGCAAAGTGGCAGGCCTGGGCAGGGGGGT